CCTGAGGTCACTGGAAGAAGCTGCCTCTGCGTCCACCAAGCAGAAAGGCCTCCTTCATGGACTCACTTTATCCAAATGAGACCAAGAAGGAGGAAAACATGAGATGCCCTTCCAGGTGGGAGATCTGTGATGGTGGAAACTGTGCCTGGGAGGCTCTGAAAGGCCTCACGGAGGCGACATTTGCTGTGTGCAGAGTGCCAGATGAGAGGCACGCCTGCCTATGTCTGGGAACAGTTTGATTGTCAGGGAGAAGGCACCGCTGGTGCAGAGACTCACAGGAAGAAGTGGGTCTGACCAGACAAGGTCAGAGAGGTGGCGGTGTGGCTGGAAGGAGCCTGAGAAGAGAGAGGAGGGCAGATGGGGGCACGGCAGGGCTGGGTGGCAGGAACTGGCAGACTGTGCTTTTTCCCATCACTCTCTGATGACATTGCTCTAAGACATTGCACCTAGAAAGTACAAATCCTTAAGATCTCACAAAGCATGTGTGCCAAGAATGGGGCACGGCTTAGCTGGGTGGCTCTGCCTCAAGGTCTCTGTGAAGCAGGGTCTGTGGCTCTATTGCGGCTCAACTCGGGGAGGGTTTGCTCCCAAGTTCACTCACATGCATGTTGATGGGGTTTGTTTGGACTGAAAGTCTGAGTTCCTGCCTGTCTGTTGTCCGATCATTCCCTCCGTTCTCTCCTATGGAGCCTCTTCACAGGGCAACTGAAAACATGCACACTTGCTCCCCCAGTTCCAGAGATATAAGAGGAAGAGGGAGAGAGAGGGAAATAGGAGGAGGGAGAGAGGGAGGGGGCTGAAGAATGTGAGTAAGAAAGAAGTGCCAGGCTTTTTGTTATTAACCCCGGGTTGTGTGCCATCCCAACACCTTGGCTGCATTCTGCTCAGAAGCCACTTCCTAACAGCAGAAGACAATGAGCACTGGCAGCCATGGCGGAGGCTGCCCTCCACATAGGCCAACATGAGGCACTTGGGTCTGACTCTAAGTCAAACAGGAGACCGTGGAAGGTTTCATGCCAATGACTGGCAATATCTGAATTTCTTCTAATTTCAACCCCTTAAAGGGGAAGACATGGAAATGAGGTCCAGAGGGGCAGGGACTTGCTCAAGGTCAAAGAGCTGTGACCCAGGCCTGTTTTGAGGGGTACTGCACATGACATCCCACCCCTTCTTGTCGTTCTTTCATCTCTAAGTGTGTGCATTAGACACATGGAAACCAGACCACAGGTGTTGTCACTACTGTCTCTTCCACAGCTGAGGATGTCCTGAGGGACCTATTTCTGGCCTCATCCCCATCGTGCACGTTGAGAGACTGAGGAGGCCCTGGGAGGCACAATGGCGTTTCCAGGACACAGAGCTTCTAGGGAAAAAGAGGCCTGAACTCAGCTTCCTCAAACTGGAAGCCTGGCTCCATCTCAAGGTCCTGTGTGGGGCTCTGTCCTGGCTATTTGTGTACAGTTCTGGAGATGACATGGGCAAGGAGGGTGAGCAGCCAAGATCCCAGAGGGGTTTTGGGTGGATGTGACTGAAAGAAGAGGCCCGGGTAATGGAAGCTTGAGGAAGTGACCTCACTTCCTTGGTGACAGACCCTAACAGAACTTAGCACACTGGTCCCCAGGCGCACACATTCTAGACATAGCCTCCTATTGAGCTCACTGGAGTGGAGACACTCAAAAGAGCAGGATGCTCTGCTGTTGTCTCCCGACTTGTCGAGGCTCTGGCTTCAAGAAAGCCAAGAAACAGAGCCTTTTCAGTCGCTACACACATTGGCTTGGCCCTCACCTGCACCGCCTCTGGCCATTTGGCAGGAGGAGACCTCAGGTAACACAGGGCAGGCCAACCACGTTAGGCCACAATGGGATCTCAGCCCCACACTCCTCTGAGCCTCCTTGTGTGTCGGGAGGTGGAGGGGACTGAGGGCTGGCAGGGCAGAGTGGGGACCCAGCCTCGGCAGGAGCCCTTTGCTGGGTGTTGGAATCCTGGCAGTGTGTCATGTTCCCAGCCCAGGTGGTGTCTAGCAGGATGGGAGAGTGGGTGTTAGGAACCAAGCTCCTCTATGCATGTGTCAGTCCAGAGCCCTCCGGGTGTCATTCCCTCCCCGGCTGGAGGTCTATGCAGATACTGCTGGGTACCTGATCTGTGCTGGGTTTTCCTCCTGTGGCCAAGCTGAGGCCGGCCCCTCAGATCTCCCTGCCTGGCTCTCGGGCACTGTCTTTATAGAGCTGCACGCTGCAGGAGGTGGTCGAAGAGCTGGCGGATGGCTTCGGGTACTCCATCTCCCTGGACAAGGGGCAGCTGCACCGTGCCACCATCAATAACCAGGGCTGCTCTGAGGTGAGAGTGGACACGGAGGGGTCTTCCCAGCCAGGCCCCTGAGATGACCAGGGCCCGCCCAGAATCCAAACTCAAACTGCCGTTCTCCTGGGACTCTAACAGGGCTGTTCCCCCTCAGTGTCCCACAGTCCCATTCCCAAAGGAATCTGGACATCCGCTTCTCCCCACCAGCTGCATAGGAGGGTAGGAGGGCACTCTTTGCATTTCCCTAGGAAGATTAGAGAAAACGTTGATGTCATTGTCACTTCCCACTAGGCCCTGAGTATCTTTGAATTTTGCCTTTTTTGGAACATGGAACCTCGATAATGAGGGTCTCCAAACTCTCTTTAATGTAAGAGAAATAACCATCAGCGTGTTTTGGAAGTCAAAGGGATTCTCAGAACGTGTCACTGCCCTGTACACTGTTGCCAGACCTGGGAAGGGTGAGGTGGCCACATAACATTTCCCTCTGGGTCAGGGTCTGATGAAGCCTCAGGCAGTTAGAGGGGATGTCCCTCAGCCCTCACTTTGGGCGGTTCTCAGTTCTGACTCACAGGACCTAGAGAAGCCACTTGGCATGCCTAAACCTCTGTTCTCCTCTCTAGACAGGGGGTGTCTGTTGAGGATTCACTGGGCTGGTGCTCTTCACAGAGGGAGCTCTGTTGTCCCTCAGTGAGTAAATGGCCTCGAGGGAGCTCAACGTGTAATCCTTCGCCCGCCCAAAGTCAGATTGTACTTTGAAAGCCCAGAGACTTGCTGAGTGTGGGAGCCCCTATCTCTCCTGTTGCACATGTCTGGGAGGGGCTAGGAGATCCTGTGTGAGCTGCAGACTTCGATAATCCTGGTGGTTTGCAGTGGTGGCCCTGACCCTCTGTCCTCCTCATCCCAGCCAGAGTGAAGATGAGTCCAGTCTGTGTGTAACTGAGGCCTGTAGGATGCATGCCCTCCAGGCAGGCATGATGCAGAGGCTCTCAGAGTCTGTGGTGCCAGCCTTCCCCGGTAGAGTCCTCTGCAGTGTCACCACCTCCCTCTACAGCTCCTCAGGCTCCAGCACATCCCACCAGGTCCTGGGCCAGCTGTTTCCCAGGTGACTGCCCGCCTCCTCCTCAGCACAGTGGTGACTCTGCCCACTGCCAGCTGTGTGTCTTGTCTTGGGAATGTCACCACATCTCTCTGAGCCTGAGTTGGTTCCTCTGAAACGTGGGGTGGGAGAGGATGAACTTGCTAGGGTTCTCCCAGGGATGAATGGGCTCAGCCATCCAGGTGCTTCCATGGTGCCCAGCTCTGCAGAGAGGGCCCTGGGTCATGCAGTGCTTGCTGGAGGTGATTATTTCTCTGCCCCCCATGAAAAGTAGTCTTCCTCTCCCTTCACTGGCTTGTGGCTTTTTGAGTTTGGAAAAACACCTGGAGAGGACCCTGTCAAGGAGTTTGAGATGCCATCCAGCTGGTCCTGGTGTATGTCCTTGGTGTAGCCATTTAGGGATCTCTGGGGCCACAGAGGGGCCACAGGCCTACTCAGACCCCAGGGGTGGTTCTGGTTGGGGTTCATTTAACAATGTCTATGAAGGACGTACTGTGTGCAGGACATCTGGACACACTAAGTGTCACTCAATAAATGAAGCAGACAGCCTCCCTGGGCCTCCTCTCTAATCTGAGAGTCAGTCACACTTGACATTATTCCTAAGTCCCATCTACCCTCCATCCTGGGTGATGCCCTCATCCCCTTTGGGACACATGGAGGCAGCTTGGCCCATTGTGTGCGGGATGCTGGAGGACAGCACCACCTCCCAAAGTGAGTGGTCTTTGGGTGCAGAAGGACGGCCTCCTGTCTCTAGCAAACAGGGTGCTGGGAGAGGATGGAGGCTGTGGCTGGCGCAGGCCTGGGAGAACCCTGCATCTCATCCATATTGTGATTCCCATGGGAAGGCTGAGTCCTGGTGGCTGCCAGTCCAGCAGGACTGGACTCAGAGAGAGATGTGCATGGGCCCCAGGCCCCCTGAGAACCGGAAGGGAGGCTGGGCTGAGTTGTCTCCTAGAGACCAACTCCTAGCAGAGTCCCAGCTCCTTCTGCCTCCCTTTCTCCACATCCACCCCTTGTGAGTGCCACCACCAGGTCCATAGTAGGAGGTGCATGAGCAAGCTGCTCACAGATCTGCTGGAGTCTTCATTCCAGTGGCCCATGTGCATGGAGGGCTGGGGTGGGCTGTGTCCAGACCCTTGGGGAGGAGAGTGTTGGTGGGAACAAGGGACTCTCACAGACTGTGTCTTCAGCCTACTGGATGAGCAGGCCTGCCACAGCCAGGGCAGCCAGCCAGGGCTCAGGGCAGGGATGGGCCCCTCCTCTGGAGGGTGAGGGGCTGGCACAGGGGCCCAGATGCTAACAAGAGTGCCTTGGGTGGGCAGTGTTTAAGGAAAGGCCAGGCCACTGACTCTCTGGTCCATCTGCCTCCCCCCCAGTGCTATCTATTTCCTGCTGGGAACCTGGCTGGGCCAAGGACAGGATTGCAGGGAGCCCCTGCAGTTTCCCTGTTGGACCCTGCAGCTGGCCACTGTGCACGTCAGCTTTGGTGGCTCACACGTGGAGGGCCATGCCTACCTTCTGCCAGGCCACCTGGAGCACCTCAAGGCCATTGAGGCTGAACAGAAAGGTGAGGGGACTGGAGTCTGAGAAGACTGTGTTGAGGTTCATGGGCTAGAGTTCCGTTAACGGCAGTGGAGTCCTTCCTGTCTTTGGAAAGGCATGGAAACTGTCAGGTGTGTGAGTGAAACTTTCTCTTTATCCTGCTCCAGAGCCAGCTCCAAATCTCCTGTCACTTCCAGAGCCAGAGCCAGATCCAGAGGCAGCCTCTGGGCTAGAGCCAGCTCCAGCTCCAGCCCCACCACCTGTGGCAGAGTTTGAGCCATCATCACCTGCATCAGACCCTACATGGCTGGAGGAAGAGCCACCATTAACTTCAGCCCCAGTGCTGGCTCCTGAACTAGAGCCCACTGGACCCTGGGCTGGGACCACCGAAAACCAGCTGAGGGAGGAGAAGCCGAACATCTTGGACTTCCCTCCCCGGCTGGTGGCAGGGCAGCTGACAAGGATGGAGGCGGTGAGCAGCGGGGCTTGCAGGGCAGGGGGGCCGTGCCTTCCTGTGCCATGAGCTGCCCCACACCTGCCATTCCGTGATCCAAAATCTGATGATCTGGGTCCACATTCCTGCTCCCCCGTTACCAACACTGTGACTTGGGCACTTTCTTAACCCCAAGCGCTCGCTGTCCCCACGTGCACAGCAGACCCGGACGCTAAGGGCGCCTGCTGCACGGGGTGGCTGTGCCGATGAATGAGGTGGAACAGAAACGATGTTGGGCAGCGTCTGGGCCCTTTGGTGCGGGAGGGAGCTCACTGAAGTGCTGCCAGGTCCTTGGGTCGATCACGCGTGTGCCCACGGGGCCTTCACATCCTCAGCAAGTATCAGACACGTGATGTGTACTGACTCCAGCGGAGACAATCACACAAAGCTGGTGCTTCTCCCTGCCTCGGGGGAATGTGCATGGGAATGGGGAGTGGGACCCGAGGGGGACTGGGATGGGTGGAAGATGGCCCTTGGGGTGGGCCGGCGGGGGCTGCGTTCCAGAGCTTGGAGGAAGTGAGATGGGGCTGGGAGCAAATGCTCCCCCTCCTTCTGCACAGCACTGTGTCCCGGGTCGGCTTGTGCTGGCACCTTCAGTGGACACAGACAAAACCCAGGGAGTCCCACAAACCTCAGAGATCACATCTTCTGCCTCCTGAGCTCCCGCTCTGTCCGCAACGCGCCTGGGACTGTGGGGGACAGTGGATGCCGAGCTGGGGTGAGGCAGTGCTGGCAACACTCTGAATCTTCCTCAGGAGCTGTTTAAGAAATTGGTGCCCGCCCACTGCCTGGGCTCCATCTGGTCCCAGCAAGACAACAGGGACCGCAAGTACTTGGCATCCACCATCTGTGACACTGTGGCACACACGAACATCTTGGGCAACAGTGTCATCGCATGACAGCCCAGGAAAGGGCCAGGGTGGTGGAGATGTGGATTCAGGTGGCAGAGGTAAGACATGGGAGGCCCATGGAGGCCCTTTCTGGAGTCTTGGGAATTGCCTCTTGTTTCTCAGCTGTCGAGATTTAAGTCTGTGGTCTGAGTCCCTGCACTGTCGCTAGACCCTCCTGCCAGGGCCACACTGACCTTGACTTGAGGTCCTGGTGATGGCAAGCTCACTTCCTTCTTGTGCTCCTTCCTTGTGTTGAGCTAAAAATCCTTGTGCCTGGCAGTGTTTCTCGTCGGGTCCCAGGTGTGCCCTCCCTGGGTTTCCTGGGCATCTGTCTCATGCAGGACAGGAGAAGTCCATGAGGGGTCAGAATCCAGAGCTGGAGAGCTCCAGCACCCCCTCACAGCTCAATCTCTTCCCTCCCCCGGGGTGCCGAGGTCTCAGAAACTTCTCATCCTTCCACACGATCCTTTCTGCTCTGCAGAGCCCTGCCATTAAGCGTCTCAAAGAGACCTGGAGACAAGTTTCCAGGCGGGTAGGCTGCTCTCCATCCAAGCACCATGAGGGTGAGGTGGACCTGGCAGCCGGCCTTGGGTCTCCATGACACCCGCACTCAGCTGAGACCACCTCGGAGACAGTGAATGCCTGGGACACAGACTGATCTGGTTCCTGGGTCTCTGAGTCTCTCAGGGCCCTTAGGCCAGCAGTTCTGCCCAGAATTCATTTCCTTCAATATCAGATCCTGACTTGAGCCCAGTTGGAGATTCTCAAGTGTTTCCTTTGCAGCAGCAGAAATCTCAATCCAACTGAAACCAAGAGTGTTCAACACAGATCTGTGTGGTAGATATGGGAATGGAGGCCCCAGGTGACAACAGGAGAGGCCCCTCCCCAGTCCCATGGGGGCCTCGGGGCTCAGAGCAACCCAGTGAAATCCCTCATCCAGGCCCCAGGCTGTTTGGATCTTCTGGGATCTCAAACAAACGGGATTTACCCTTCAACCATCCCATAGTCTTTCTTTCTTTCTTTCCCCACTCCCCCAGGGAGAGTTCCTACACCTTTAAGAAGTGGTGCAGAGGAGAGCAGCACGTGAGCAAGAGACTGTTCCTGAAGGTAACCTGGGGCTGGAGATCTGGGAGGAGGGGTGCAGCAGGGGGCCGGGAACATCCTGAGGGCATCCTAGGAAGTGAGGCTATGGTAAGGCCATCCTGGGGTTCAGAGACCCCTGTCGGTGGGGCAGGAAGGAGATGCCTCATGGCCCCCCCAGCACCCTCTGCCCTCTCCCTCCATGTCTCAGTTTGGCTGTTGTTGGGACACACTCTGGGAGTGCAGAGGTCGGGACCATGGTCATTGGTGGGGCAGGGCGAGGGGTGAAGGCAGTGGGGACAGGGACTCTGGCTGGGAGAGAGATTGGCCTCTCCTCAGTGGGTCCTTGAGCAAGTCTCTGCCCCTCTGTGGGCCTCGGTCTCCTCCTCTGGGAAATGGAGGGAGATGACGTGGTGCAGGCCTCATGGCGGGGTGATACCATCCAAGGGAGGACAGGAATGGGAGGAGATTTGTGCTGGCTCCTCCTGGAGAGGTGAGGGGAGAGCAGTGATGACAGTCAGATGACACGGAGTCCTCAGGAAAGCGCTGGAGGGAGGTGGATTTCCCCTCACTCTTTCCTGATGAGGAAAGAGGCTCAGGGAGGCCTGGGCAGGCCCAAGGTCACACAGGAGTGAGTCCTGGAGCCAGGACTGGTCTAGAATCAGAGCACCCTGGAGGTGGGAACAGCATAGGCAGCAGGGGACTGGAGCCAGATGGCCAGGGTCTGAGGTCAGGGGCTTTGGGGTACATGTGGAGGGGAGCAGGGACTCTCTGACCCTGTCTTCGGCACCGACAGGAGGCGACCTCCATGTTGGCCACTGCACAGAGGGCCCGCCATGGAGCCCGGGAGAGGCAGCGGCAGCAGGTGAGGGTGCCTGTGGGGGAGGTGCCCATGAATCAGAGGAGAGGTTTTCCCCTTCCCAGCTGGAGGCCACCCCCAGGAGAGGCGCCTTCCTCCTCCATCGCATCTGCTGTGGCTGCCGAGCCTGAAGTGCCTGCATTGGCAGTGAGCAGGAGGAGGCCTGGAAGGGCTGGGAGCAGGATGGTTTTGGGGTGGGGAGGGGCAGAGGCCACACCCCCTGGGATTGGCCCACAGCCAGCCCTGGGATGTGACTGGGGGAGTTTGGTGTTCCTGGAGGGGAGGGGAGGAGGGAATTGTGTGTGGTGGGGGCTCCTGAGGGTCCTAGGCTACTGTATGTGGGAACCTGTGGTGGGCAGGTGGCTGGGGTGAGGTGTTTCACGGGAGGGTTCATGGGGGCACCTGAGTGCTGGAACTCATCACCATCCTCACCTTGATGGAGCAGGGTGTCATCCCCTCCCTCGAGATGATCTTCAGTTACCTGGAGCTGCTGCATAATGAGATGGATTATTATGTGGAGGTGAGTGAGCATGGAGGTGGGGCTGTGGGATCAGGCTCCTGAAGATTTGGGAGGAGAGAGTCCTGCCTGAGCCCTGAGCTCTCACACTTGGAAAGGTCCTCTCTGCAGAGACTCCCAGCCTCCTGTGGAAGCCAGGACATCAGGCCCATCTCAGCAACGAGTGATGGGAGGCTCTGCCTAGGCCGCCATCCAGGCTCCCTGGGCTGCTGAGGCTCAGAGCTGCCTGGCTGTGTGGCCACAGGAGGGGGAGTCTGAGCTGGACTCAGCCTCTCCCTCTGGCTCTGCCCATGAGGGAAGAGAAGTCGGGCCCCTCCAAGTCAGGAAGCACATCAGAGCCTTGGCTGTCCCTTCCTGCCTGAGGCCTCAGTCTCCCCATGTGTCATCAGAGAGGGTTAGATTATAAGGTCTCAGCTCCTCTGCCCCCAGGTCTGGAGCCCAGAGCCTGGCCCAGGTCCAAGTCTGGTCTCTGGAAGGACCTGCCCACTGGCAGCAGTGCAACACTGGAAGAGGTGGGATAGGGGCTAGTTCTGAGCTAAGGGGGCTGTTTCTGATGGACTTTGGCTGTCTGCCTTCCAGGGAATGTGCTCAGCTGTCAGAATGAGGTAAGGAGCTGCGGCCTCACTGTGGTGAGAGTGGCTGTGTGGGAATCAGAGAGCCCCCCTTTCATAAGAAGCCCTCTAGCCCAATCCCTGGGTTCGGGCATTTATTTGCAGAGTTCGATATACAGAGCTGGGGATCCTATGGTGTTGGCGGGCTGGGGAGGGCTGGCGTCAAGGACCGCTTACTGGTAGAGGATCTATTTCGGGACAACTGCAAGAACAGGCATGTCCTGACTGGAATTGCAGGGAAGGAGGGTTCCCAAGTTGGCAAAGGCCCCACACTGGCTCCTTGACCCCCTCCTCACCCCCACCAAGAGCCCTGCAGGGTCCCCCACACAGGCCATGTCTCCATCCTGTCCTTCCTCTGTCCCAGGAATTCAAATTCATCAAGGACATCAAGCTGGTCCAGAAGGCTGCAAATCTGTACACCGTGCAGCCCAATGAGCACTTTGGAGCCTGGTTCCAGGCTGTTGAGCCCCTGAGTGAGGAGGCGAGGTGAGGCAGGGCAGGAGTTGGGTGAGGGCAGGGCAGACTCTCCCTGCACACCAGCTCCAGTGTCCATGGCCGTGGCTCCATCCCCAGCCTCAGATCTGGCTGCATGGTGACCCTTGGGACTCCAGCTGCTGGGAGGCTCTGGGAGGCACTGCTGTGGTGTGGCTCCTGGGAGCCCACAGCTCCACTCTGTCCTGTAGCTACAGCCTGTCCTGTCAGCTGGAGCCCCGATACCAGTGGTCCAGAAAGATTCGACTCTTCTTCAAAGACAAGAAGAGCCGCTCATCTTCCCGCCCAGGGCTGAGTGAGTGTCTGGACTGGCAGTGGTTGAATTCAGGGTCTCAGTACAGATTCAGGCCAAGTCTGGGCCAGGGGAGTCGGACAGCTGTGGTGCTGGGGCCCCAGCTCCACCGCTGAGCAGTCCTGTCACGGGTGATTCCCCTCGCATTTCTGGGACTGGTTTGTTCCTCTGTGAAGTGGGTGACACTAAATATCAGCCCCTGTGTCAGGGACATGGGATGCTGTTGGCTGACTGAGCACTCAGCACCGGGTCTGGGGCACAGGGTACAGTGGGTGCAGGGAGGGGGGAGAGTATGCTGTGATTCTGGGGGAGGCCCCAGAGGAAATTCCTCTCTCTATCCAGACACGAGGCCCCCAAAAAAGAGCCCAGCGGTTGTGGCAGATGTTGCTCCTTAGACCAGCTGACTCACAGCAGGGACACAGCACGGACACTCAGGTGCATGGGGCCACCTCTCAGATGCTGATATGAATGAAAACTTTGTGATCTATTTCCTGGGGGTGCCTGAAGGCCACAAGGGATTGGACGATCCCACCATCTCCCTCACACATTTTCCCCAGCGCCAATTTTCCCTCTTTGGAGAGGCCATGTTTTCGTTGTCAATGATAAATGCTAAGTTTGGGTATTCTATTAAATTTCTGTTTTTTTCTCAGCCTGGGGGTGGACATGTGGTTCTTTCGCTCTCTGTGCTCATGGAAATGAGATCCAGAATCTCACATTCCTCCTTGAATTCAGAAACCTCGCAGAGTCCTCAGCTCAGGGTATGTGGTGAAGGGAGAAGTGCCAGTGCCGTCCCTGGCTGCTGAAGGACAGTCCCGTGTCCCCCTCACTCAGAGGACAGCATGATTGCAGTGTGGTTCACCTGGTCCTGGAGCAGAAGCGGCCCCTCCGATCTCCCGGGGCTGAGACATTGGAGGGACTTTCTCTGGCAGAACAACATCCACGGAGACGGGGGTGTCTTTAAAAGTAGCACTTGCTTCGGGCCAGCCCAGTGGTGCAGAGGTTCAGTTCCCATGGTCCCCTTCTACGGCCTGAGGTTCGCTGGTACAGATCCCGAGTGCGGACCTATGCATCCCTTGTCCAGCCACTCTGTGGCAGGTGTCCTGCATATAAAGTAGAGGAAGATGGGCATTGATGTTAGCTCAGGGTCAGTCTTCCTCAGCAAAAATAGGAGGATTGGCTGCAGATGTTAGCTCAG